AGTGAGAGATGGTCCTGGTCACACCTGGCCACCACCGTGTCCCTCCAGGCTCCCACACTTCCCTGCCTGGTTTTTGCCTTCAAACAGGATTTTGGCTCTTGCTGTCAAAACCCATCAGTGCTCCAGCAGTTTCCAGCAGCCTAAGTCCCTGCCCGGCCCCGAGGCAACAACATCCCACTCACGGCCTCATCCTGCAAACCACAGAGACCCACTACCCGCGGTGCTGGCTCGTGCCACCGGCTCCAGCACCATCAGGTGCTTCAGGGAGAGGTGGGTGTGAAATCACGCCAGAAAATGCATATTTTTACGTTTCCCCGGCAGGTTCACTGATGTTTTTAGGGCAGTGCTTCGAGGCCACCTGGAGTGTCACCCACAGCCTCCAGCACCCGGATGGCTCTGCAGGGTGCCGGGTGCGGCATTTTAGGCTAAAGGTGGGAATAACATTCAGCCAAGCGTGGCCATGGCTCTGACCCTGCCGGGCTCCATCAGTGCGGGTCACCAAGCGGCGACAGCTCCTTTGCATCCCGGCTCCAACTCCAGGTCTAAGCAGGTCTCATCTGCCAAGCCCTCCTCCTTCCCCCCCAGCACCACCACAGGGACAGCCTGGGCCACATCCTGACCTCCCCCCCCACTACCCTCCTTACTTCACCAGGCACAGAGAGCTTGTGGCTTCCTCTCAGCTCTTTAGGAAATTAAACTTTTATAAGCAGAAAGGTTTCTGGGCTCTTGGCTCCCCAGCGCAGGAACCGCAGCCCAGCCTGTGCCTGCACCCTGCCCACTGGCTGCTCCCCTGGCAGGGAGGGATGGAGGCTGGATGCCCCATCGATGGGCTGAGTGATGGCAGGGACAGGTACGTGGCTGCCCATGACCTTGGTGTCATCCTTGACCTGGAAATCTCCTTCTCCTGCATCGCCAGTGTTGCATTCCTGCCTGCAGCCACCTCTGGCAGGGCTCTGACACCCTCGCCCAGGCTGGAGCTGCACCTCACGCTGTCACCCACTGCCACACCATCGATGACATCCCAGCGCACAAAATCCACCCTGACTCCCACCAGTGTCTCCACGGATGAAGCTCACGGGGCGCAGGAGGCCCAAAATGCCCCCAGGAATCGCAGCACTTCCCCGGCCACGCCGCCACCATCCTGCCACAAACGCCTTCGCCCGTGTGGCACCGCCTGCGAACCTTTTTCCCCGCGAGCAGGCACAAGGAGCTGCTTCCCTCGGAGCTGTCAACCATGGATCGGATCCTGCTGCCCCAAGCCCTGCCACGTCCTCCAGCCTCAACCCCGGTCCCCGGCAGTGGGACGTGGAAGGTGCTGGCAGTGCCACCATCAGCCCGCGCTGCCTCCCACCAGCACAGCCTTGCATTGCCACCACCCTTGACAAAACCAGCCGCCCCCGAACCCTGCAGAGGGGTTTGGCCCCAGCCCAGCACCGTGGCAGCAGCTCTCCCCATCCTCCCTCACCTCACATGTGGGGTGTCCCCTCTGCATCCCACTTGGGGTGAATGCTGGGGGCCGGGACCCCCTTCCCAGGGACACCTGGCCACGGTGAGGTGGAAAGGGGAGAGCCTCTCGATGGGATGGAGGCCTCTTCTAACTGCCTGTTGAATTATTCAGGAATGGTATTAACTTATAAATGAGTGTGTTTGACTGATTTTGTGGTTGATGTACAGATAAATTCTAATGAAAGACAGCTACAAGATTTTAAATTATTAATTAGACTGCCACTTAACAAAGCCTATTTGGCACTCTATTTCCTTGCTTAACAAGACAAAAACTTTAAGAATAGGTTTTGCTTTAGCCCACAGGCTGTTCAATTTGCATTTTGTTTTTCTAGCTCCACAAATGAAAGCTGTAGATCTTGACCTTAACAGGCTACCCCTGGTGGGATCCAACCCTGCCGGCAGCCTCTCTGCCTGCCTCCACCTCAGGCTCCCAGTCTCCCAGCCTGGATGATGCTTTTCCTCCAGCCAGCAGCACCAGGGCTGGGAATCAAGGCTGGGAACTGTGACTGCTCCGAGGGCTCGGGTTTGTTCTCAAGTCATCCAGCCTGGTTGGGTTAATACACTGAACAAAGCTGATGCAGGAGCCGGAGAAAGGAGCATCCGAGTGCGAGGCCCCACAACCACAAGGTGACATTCCTCCAGTGGGAAAAAGCATCCCTGGGGTGACAGTGGGGGGTCTGCCCTGCCCAGGAGTCCACACCCCGATGTGGGGGGCTGCAGGCAACAGCTCCTTCTCCCACTGCCGGAGCCTCGCTGGAGAGAGGCATGTGGCGGTGATGGCAAGGGCTGGGCCTGGGGCTGTGCAGCTGCCCCCTCCCCAGGGCACGGGATGGGACTAGGGAGTCCAGCCGGGATCCCCCCGCATGGCACCGTTATCCCCAACATCTCCCCGGGACTGGCCCCGGGTGCAGCGGGGCTGGGAGTCCTGCCCTCCCCCACCCCCCCACCGCCCCGTGCCCCCCGGGAGGGCCGGCTGCTCCCCTTGCCGTGATGTCACAAAGCTCCCCGATGATGTCCCAGGCGGTTGCCATGGAAATCGCGTGATGTCACAGCGGAGCGATTCTCCTCGGGGGGGCGGAACGGGACGGCTCACCCCAACTTCCCCGCTGAACCTCCCGCGCCCCCCGGGCGAGCCCCGTTTCCCGTTCCCTCGCTCTGAGGGACGAGCACCGGCTCCGCCGCGTCCGCCGCAGCCCCGCTGTCTCCGGGACCCGTCGTACCCCGGTGCCCGCGGGACCCGCCGCGCCCCAGGTCCTGCGGGACCCGGCGCCTGCCGTGCCTCCCCCCGCTCCTCCCGGTCTCCCGCCTTCCCGGCGTGCGGCGCTCCCGCCGGTGCCGCTCCCCGGGGGGTGCCCGAGCCTCGGCGGCGGCGCCGGTAAACGCGGTGGCGGCGGGGGGCGCCCGGCGGCGCGGCCCCAACTTCGGCGGGGAGAAGACAAACTTCGGGGCCGGCCCCGCTGCCCCCGGCGCCCGCGGCGCCCGGTGCCCTCCCGGTGCGGCGCTCACCTTGGCGGAGCATCTTGGAGCCGGGGCGGGCGCGGTCTCCCGGCGGCGGCGGCGGCAGCGCTCAGAGCCTCGGGCGCGGCGGCGGCGAGCGGTATCGGCGGCGGCGGCTGCTGCTGTACCGGGAACGCGGAGCCGAAGCCCGGGCGAGCGGCCCCCGCGGGGGCATGGCGGGCCGAGCCGCAGCGGCACCGGGGAGCGCCGGCCCCGGAGCACCGGGGAGCGCCGGCCGCGCCTCTGCCCGCCGCGCGTCCCGCCGCCGGCTTTTAGGGGGGAGCCGCCCCCTCGGGGCTGGGGCCACCGCCGCCCCCCACCCCCTCGGGCAGAGCCTATAAAGAGGCGCCCGGTGCCGGTGCCGGTGCCGCGCTGCCTGCAGCGGCGGGCAGGGCTGGGCAGGGCGGGGCGGGGCAGAGAAGCGACGGGGCGGGCAGGGCTGGGCCGGGCCGGGCTGGGCTGGGCTGGGCTGGGCGAGCCCCCCCCGGGCCCCCCCTTCCACCGCCGCCGCCGCCTCTCCCGCCTCCCGTGGACAGTTCGTGAAAGTGCCGCTGCTCCCGTTCCCCGCGCCGCCGCCCTCCCTCCGCCCCACCGCGGTGTATGGCCCGGCGCCGCCCTCCTGGGGCTCTGCGGGCCCGCCGGGGACTGATTGTCACCCCCGCCCTATGGTTATCCCTTCTGCCGTTGTCGTCGACACGGAGTCCCGCTATCGCACCGGGGCTCTGCCGCGCCGCCCCGCGCCTGCCGCGGTCACGGCTGTCCCCGCTGTCCCGCCCGCCCAGCACCCTCCCTGCCGCTCCCCGGGGACTCGCCGTCCCCTACGGCGAGTCCCCTCTGCCCCGCGTGTCCCGGTGTCCTGCCGAGGTCCCGCCGCCCGATCCGGGTCTTTGCTGTCCCCGCTGTCCCCTCCGCCCTGCCACGGTCCCTGCCGCCCCTCCGGACTCCCTGCCGTTCCCTACCATGCTCTCCGCTCCTTATCGTCCTCTCCGCCCCACTGGATCCCTGCTGTCCCACGGGGGCACGGATACCCCACCGGGAGCTCTGCTGTCCCCTCCGCATCCCGGTCCCTGCTGTCCCCTTTGTCTCCCGGTTCCTGCTGTCCCCGCACTCCCCGCCGCGGTCCCGACACCCCACCGGGGCCCCGCTGCCGCCGGACTGTCCCTCCTGCCTCTCGAGGCTCCCTCGCTCCTCCTCCCTTTGGCACCAGCGGGGGTCCCGTTATCCCACTGGGAGCGCAGCTGTCCCCACTGACCCGCCGGGATGCCCGCTTTCCTCGGGGGATCGCCTCTGCCTCCTCGGTCTTCTATCATCTCCCGGAGGTCCCGCTACCCCGGACTATTCCTCCTGAGGGCGAGGGTCCCTCTCGCGTCCTCCCTTCTGCCCCCCCCGAGGGTCCCGTTATCCCACCGGGATCGCTGCTACCCCTACTGTCCCAACGAAGGTCCCGTTATCCCACTGGGAGCACTGCTGTCCCCAGTGCCCCCCCGAGGATCCCGTTATCCCACCGGGAGCGCTGCTGCCCCTACTGCCCCACCGAGGGTCCCGTTATCCCTCTGGGAGCGCTGCTGCCCTTACTGCACCCCCGCGGAGGTCCCCGCTACCCTCGAGTCCCTCCTACCCCACCCCTCGCAAGGACCTGGCTTCTGCCCCACGACAGGGGTAGCGGGGGGACACACGGACCCGTCACCATGACAACGTTCCCGGTGCCCTGTGTTAACGCTAGGACCGGCAGCCCCCGGGCCGTCACCACCGGGAGAGACGCGACAAAGCCGCCTCCCCGACGTGAAGCGGGGGACAACCCCGCCATCACAACCTTTGCCACATCGCACAGCACGCCCAGCACCGCGCCGGGACCTTCATCCGCCACCGCCCCGGTCCCCGCCGCGCCGCCCGTCCCCGTCCCGTCGGGGCCCGGCGGGTGCGCTCTCCCGCGCTCGATGTCTCGGCCGGCGGCTGCTCCGGCCTCGCTCGGGGCTCGCTTGGTGCTGCCTGGCCGCCCCCACGTGCGGCACAGCAATGGCGGCCCCCGTGAGGGCCGGGAGCGTGGCCCCGGTGCCCGCCAGAGGTGCGTTGGGACTGGGGCAACACGGGGCTCCCGGGGTCGCTACCGGGTGTTCTGTTCGTTGCCTCAACGCTGAAGGCCGGGACGGCGGCGGGGGAGGCCCGGGACGGTG